CGGGCTGTGTCTAGACGGGCCAGTTTTTCGGGAAAATCAGCCGCTTTTCCAGAAAAACTTGCCAGCTGTCTACACTGGCCGCTTGTATTTCCACAAAAGCACTGACGATCTCATGTAAGATTGTCAGTGTTCTTGCAGAAATACTATGCTGCTCCCATTTGGGCAAAAGTCCTTTTGTGCAAAACTTTTGCGCAAAAGGGCCAGTGTAGACAGCTTAGCTTTGTTTTCTGCAAAAAAGCCCCGATCGCGAAAATAGTGATCGGGGATTTTTTGCAGAAAAGCGCATTTAGATTGGCACAGACACTTTTCCGCAAAAAGTGCGTTTTTGCGGAAAAGCGTCCGTGCCAATCTAGATGCTCCGTTCTAAAAATGCTTTTAACGGAAAGCTTTTCCGTTAAAAGCATTTCCGGAAAATCATGCCAGTCTAGATGTAGCCACTATGTTTTAGAACCTTTACTATGAGTTTGTAGTCTGGTATAGCCCCACTGAAAACCACTCCAACTGGAGGTCGAATAAGTCCTATTTGCCTCACACGAGGTGGTATATCTGCAGATGCAAGGGTTGGAACAAGGCACGTGAACCGTTCAAGCCCTATTTTGAGCATCTGAGAGAGTCTTAAGTGGAATTTAAGAGGTGCACAGTTAAGCCTCTGTACTGGGCTCAGTTCCATCAGCATTGACTTCAATAGGACCATGCTCATGAATAAAGCAAGTAGGCTTAGGCTCTGAACTTGTACAACAGTGAACTGAATTTGGACCTTACCAGGACTTGATACAAAAGGAATTTTAACCCAATCTTATGTAATTTTCATCCTGTAGAATTCATAAATAATGTAAAACTCCAGTACAGTTTGAACTATAGTTAGTTTGAAGCTGCCTGGTTACATTTCAGTGAGTGAAACTTAAATATCAGCAAGTCAGCTGCAGGTCAGCACTTGCTCCTCATACAGGAGGAAGAGTTATGTTGTGTTGCTTTAAACAATCCTAATAAACATTTCTATGAACAAGATGCCACTGTGTTTTCATACTCATGTAAACAAAACAGATGTCTTATAATTCCTTTTCTCCCCACCCCCCGCCCACAAAAAAAAAAAAAAAAAAAGCACAAACATAAGCAGGGCCAATAAATCATATGGTATTTACAACTAGGACTTGTTGACTAAATCTCATCTGTCATCCTGTAGCTTGGATGGTAGAAGAGCATTGTTGCTTTCATGTGCAATACTGTTCTTTTCACACCCATCAAAAATTTTACCCAGGGCCTTAGGAATACTCATCTATTGATGTATAGGGGGAGTTGGTAAAACTTGAGGCTGTTGAAGTGGTTTTCGAATTCCTGCACGAATAGCCATTGACGCTTGTGTCCCGCGCAGCAGCTCTTTTCTTACGGGAGGACTTGGAATGATCACCATCATTGGGATCAAACACCACGGTGGTGGTGGACTCCATTCTGGAGACAGTGTACATGCTACTTTGCCGGGTGGGATGAAACCTGGCAGCCTTTAGCTCCAGCTCATCATAGCTGGACACCTCGATAAATGGGCACCAACGGAATGCTCTCTTGAAACCAGCCCGGAATCTGAGAAGAAAGATATTTGGTTAAACTGCATAGGCAATATTGGGGGGCCAATGCAGGGTCAAGTGCCCCCGATTTTTGCTCAACTTGACAGAGGGGATATAGATGGGCCCTGTACTTCTTCTACAGCACCTGCCATGGTTCCTATCCCTGGCAAGTGGGGACCAGAAGGGGCAGGACAGAATCACTTATCATGCTGGCTGAGGTTGGCCGCTTTGGGTTGCTGCCTCTGTGCTGTGTGGGGAGGTGGCAGCTGCCTGTCTTTTCTGCTTTCTGAGGGTATGTCTACACTATCCTCCTAATTCGAAGTAGGAGAGTAATGTAGGCATACCGCACTTGCAAATGAAGCCCGGGATTTGAATTTCCCGGGCTTCATTTGCATGAAGCCGGCCGGCGCCATTTTTAAATGCCGGCTAGTTCGAACCCCGTGCCGCGCGGCTACACGCGGCGCGGAGTAGCTAGTTCGGATTAGGCTGCCTAATCCGAACTAGCTGTACTCCTCGTGGAATGAGGAGTTCGAACTGCCGGCATTTAAAAATGGCGCCGGCCGGCTTCATTCAAATGAAGCCCGGGAATTTCAAATCCCGGGCTTCATTTGCAAGTGCGGTATGCCTACATTACCCTCCTACTTCGAATTAGGAGGGTAGTGTAGACATACCCTTACTGAATTCAGCATGTTTCTGGCTTGCGGGGCCCCTGTCCCAGACAGTATGGCCTGGATGAGTAATAGAAGGGTTAGTCTGTCTCCTTAACCAAGTTCTCTCTCAAGCTCTTGATGGCTTCAGTTCAGTAATACTAATGGAAAAACTGAAAAATGATCTGATATGTAAAATTAAGGGCAATATCATCTGTGAAGAGGTGTAAAGATACCTATTCTGAATCATACCAATCTAGACCACGATCCTGCAATCTGATGTAGGCAAGGTGACTCATGCCTGTAAAAAGCCCCTTAAATAATTGTGGCCTGATTTTTTTTCACCCATAAATCCCAGTTACATCAATTGCAAATGCAGCCCCCTTGAAAATAAGAACCTAGGAGTAGGTGTGACTTTATCTTCAGCATCTCCAACTGCATATGAGTACGGAGTAATAATGCTATGAACATTTTATCATCCAATTGAGACTGCAATGTATAATAGCAATATTATGATGTATGTGATTTATAATACTACAATAAAAGCTTTATTTTAAATTGCATCCCAATCCCCTATTGTGTAAAGTCAGCTGTCTTTGGAATACTGATTAGTAAGCATACTGTATAGATTTCACATACTCCAGTAACAAAGCACCTTAACTTATATTTGGTGCATTTGAAACAATTAGGGCCTTGTTCTGCAAGCCCTGACAAGTGGCACATCCATTCATTTTTATTAAATGTTCTGCATGTGTTACTTGACAGGAGGAGGGCTAAATTTTGCTCTTACATTTGTCAATGTCACAGGTATTCATTGGAAGAATTACATTAGCATTGAACAGAAACCTGATGAAGGACTTTCACCTCACATGGTACATATTTTTTCTCTTGTTGAGAATCTTTACTATTGAAATAAAATTTCCTTTGCCACTTTCACAGTCAAATCATATATATTCTGGCTAAGCTCACACATACCCAACAGTTTCATAATTCTCACTTACCTCTTATTAAGGCAGCAGTAGATAATGGGATTGTACATTGTGGAGCTCATGGCCAGCCAAAAGCTGCCTAGGTAAATTTGCTGAATGTATTTCCACCGATTTAAGTGTTGGTAGATCCCTGTAACTATGAAGTAAATGTGGTAGGGCAGCCAGCAAATTGCAAATGTCAATACAACGACAATCATCATTTTTACAACCTGAAAGAAGGGAGTAACAAAGCCATTTTATAATATGTTATATTGTTTTGTACTTAGCACAAAGATGTCCCCCTCACAATACTATTGCAGTTAGCACCAATTGGACCTCTTCTTGATCGTCTCCCTATTAAAGTTAGTCAGGCTGAAGTAAGGCTGCACCTTTTTTAAACAGCATTTTTGTTTTTAATCTGAATTTCTTTCATTTCCATTTTTCTCTGGAGAACAGCATCCTCCTCTCTAACAGTATGAGAGACTTTTATAGCATTATCCACATTGAATTTTGTATAAAAAATGGACACAGCATCTGAAGCTTCAACTTTTTCCATATTATCATTTTTCTAGCTCTTTAGCCATAGGGATAAGGTTATCATATTTTCCATGTGGTCACCCCTGCATGGCCTTTATTGCCCCAAAGTCTGTTGTAGAGAAGAGACTCTTTACTAGCTGCTTAACAGCTATATACCCTAAGTCCTCGATGGTAAATGGAAGTTGAGTAAGCAGTGGTGAGCCGGGAAGGCCCACCAGCAGCAATCTCCATTTTTAATGTAGTTTCAGCTGGTGTGTATTTTCATCATCCATCATCAACTTCGTTGTCATTGTCATTGTCATCATCTTCCTTGGTTTTGTGGGGCATTACACCCCCCAAATCACAACAAAAGATAAATGAAGAGAAGCTTTGGTGAGAGTCATGCACGACAGAGGAAGAAAGTATTCAAGTATTTCTAGCTGCCGCCTTATCCTCTTCAGCTACAGAAATTACTAATCAAGTCATTCTCAACACAAAATTTCAGAAATGAGCATGATAGATAACATTTTGTGGATGTAAAATGAAAACTAGCCTGATTAGGCTTACACTGTAAGTCTTTGGCTGTGTGTGTGAGTGTGTGTGTATGTATATACTGCAAGTAGACCTGGTATTGTCACCTATAAGATTGCCTATCACTTCTCATTATAAAGACCCTGTTTCAAGCAGCTTCAATTTTGCCAAGCTTTAAGCACTGAAGTAAAAATTTTCCACATTAAGTCTCTCTTTTATGAAGACTTTTTTGAAAGTTTCAGCTAAGCGTGTTGAACCTTAATCTGCCCCCCAGTACATATGCATGATGGTATAGTCTTTAATTACATGAATATATGGTCATGTTTTCTACATTCGGATTACTTTTCATTATATTTTTGCTACAAGATTCACCAGGCTACTTACTATCTGGAACAGTTGCAAAAAAAGACTTTAGAAGTTCAGACCACTTATTACAAATAATAAACAGTGACAGCTGCTTGCACAAAATATGCATTTGTTTATGTGTATCACATAATGTTCAAATTAACAGTACTTTGCATCCATAAATATCTGTTTGCGCCATTTGCTTGGGAGGTGTGTGTGTGTGTGCCTGTGTGTGTATGAAACCATTTCCTGCATATGGATCTTAGCCTCTACTTTTTAAAATATATAGCACCACTTTGTGATTTTTTTCATGAGTATAATTTGTCAGGTAAAAGTGTTGCATACATCTTGAAACAAGGCCGGAAATACCGTGTTGAAACAAATTATGGTTTGCACTGTGTTATATTTTACTCTTTTGGATATATCTGTCAGGTATTCATCTGTGATTAATTATAGTCTTAGGACTAATTTATACTGCTGGAAGACTTGGTGCATACGTTCACCACATTTTAGCATTTAATTCAGAAGGGCCTTTGCATGGTCTCGAGTTTTGCATCCACTTTTTCGTGCCTGCATGGATCTGTGAGTTCAAATGATAATTAAAGAAATATCTTATAGCACTTAGATGTCTAATTATTTGCAACCGAAATGAGTCAGCTAAACATCTGATACAACAAATATTTTCATAAACTGCCCATAACATTACCACTGAAATTGTTTACCAGTAGGAAAAAATAAGTAGAAAATGGGAGGCTGCTAATGAAAGTCAGACTCCAATTCCTTACCATCTAAACAGTCAACTCAGTATGTATGTATGCAAACAATCCATCTACACAGTTCTCAAGAAACTGAAGGAGAAGAGCTTTTCAATAATGTATGTGATTTGAAACTGGCTTCACACTGTGATTTTCATACCCTGGAGCTCCAGGAATTGCTAGGACAGTGATATTACAGGTTACCAATTCTGGCATCACTAAAATGTGTTAGCTTCACAATTGCCTGAGAAAGTAGCCTTTCTGTTTCTAACACCTAAACTGTTACAAAAGCAGGTTAATGTGTAAATACTTAAAGGACAAATCAAGGCTTGCTACATGAGTTGCCCATTTAGAAGATCATCTGAAGGTCGTCTGAAAAAACACAAACAAACTAGTGAAGGCAGAATTATCTCAAAAATCTGTTGCTACCTTTTCCTTGAATTCAGTGTCAGAGAATTTTGTGCGGAAGAAATGTATTGAAGTAAATTGCTTAGATGGCTGTACTGGACTTGTACAAATCTGCCTGGTTTGGATAGCTAGCATTCTTTCTATTTAGTCTGCAGTGGTGAAGCTATGCTCCACTGGGAAGTCAGGCAAGGAAACACATCACAGGTGTGATTGTATGGAGCCTTCTTGCTGTAATGATTCCAGGTGCGCAAAATATTCTTAATAAAATACTAAAGTACTTGAAAATGATAAGATCTGATATTCCTCGCACAACAGAGTCTATCAGGAGTAGTTTCTCTAAAGTAAATGGGCGTGTATGTTGATTATGGTCTATAGGAGATGTCCCCTGGCGTTTGAGATTTTGCTAGGAACTTGTAAAGGAAGAATTTTAAGAGAGAAAAAAGAAATCGCACCTATGTCACAATTCTCAATTTTCCAAGGAAAAAAAATTACTTTCAAATTTGAGCATATATTTTGCATTTACTTGCATAATTACAATGTGAAAACCAGGTATTTCATTGGTCATTGGATTCAAGTGAAAATCGGGGAGTAGGAGGTGATCAAAGATTGCATGAAATGAAAGCAAGACAAAGTTTATACTCAGAGGTCTGTAAAATTGAGGGAGGTTATAATTCACCTGCAAACATACTCCTATCTCCTCCTGGTGAAACATCATCACATCAGTATTGGGAAAGGCAAGAGTATCTGGATCCCATGCCACGGGGGACGGGGGTGTTAAGCATTGAGAACAAGGGTGCATGTGCAGAAATCGAGGGGAGAAAAGATCAAAGGGAGTTGAAACAGAGGGAAGGGGAATATGGCTATATGAGGACAGGAGGGAAAAGTATTGGGGAAATGGAGAGGAAAGCCAGTTTGGAAAGGAGCAGTAAGAGGATTGTAGTGAAAAGCCAAAGTGAAACATTTATCAGAAAATATAGGCTGCATTCAAGTAACTGTATGAACAAGATTTGCTTGCTTTTCAAACCCTCTCCTTTTGCATTCATGGCAATCTCCCATTAATTAATGACACAACAAAGGGGAATAAAAGCAGCTCTGAGCAAAACATGCATATTAAAAAGATAGAATGAGTGAAACATTGTATTGACAGGACTGCAGGTGCTCAGACTCGGACTGCATATGTCGTGATTTGAATAGCAACGTTAGATTCGCTTCATTCAGTGCTGACTGTATATATAAAAACCTAAATGTAATCTGCTCTAAATCATTGTGCGAAGCCATTCAGTCCCCAGGTTCAATCCAAACATTGTTAGATGTGTTTCTCTCCTTGACAGTGGCTGGTAGTTCATGAACAGGCTTTGCATTTATCATGGTTTGTAATGCCTCTTAGTTTGACTCAGGTTTAACAAAAAGTTCTGAAAAGATTAAACACTCGCATTAGCTCCAGCAAGGAGTTATGCTGGAGCACAACAAGGAGAGTGAAACAGTACTTGTACCTACTTTTTTCCAGGCTCCAGTTTACACCTACATTAGAAATTTTGGTTGAAAAAAAAAATCCCTTATGGTGCTACTGTTCTTTCAGCTCCAGAGGAGAGGAAAACATCATCTTACTAATGTTGTGCTAATTATACAGAATATATCTGGCAATACAGAATTCAGTTTATTTTCTTTCTTTTTAATATGTATTAAATATGTATTTTGCACTTTTAAAAAAATGTTGCAATTTTTGGCTGCTTTTTTCCCTTTGTTCCATGTATTATATGCCACATTTTGTTATATTAGGGGGGGATCTTGCAGATCCTCGATTAGGAGAGTAACCTTACTCATGGAAAGAGTCTTGTTGGATTACTCTAAAGCAGGGATGGGGCCCTGAGGCCCAGGGTCCCAATGTGGCCCCCAGCTTGCCTGGATTTGGCCATCAGGGCTCATTAGGGAGCCTCATTAGGGTGCTCCAGACCCACCTCAACTTCACTGCAGGGCTGGAGCACACAAAATCTACTAGGCTGTCCCCCCCAGGCTTTGGTGTGTGAGGGGAATATGAGGAGAGTCTTTCTCCTTCTCAGGTGGGGGTCATGTCAATGAGGAGGGTTTTTTTTTTTTGGCTTCTCACTAGTGTGCAGCCCCCAACTGATTTTTCTGTGGGTCAGCAGCCACCAAGACAAAAAAGGTTCCCTGCTCCGGCTCTGAGTACAGCCTTACAGTACTGGCCCTGAGATTGATGAATCAAATTAGGATTTTATTTAAGGGCAATCCTGGATTATTTATGCAGATGTCTCACCCAGATAGAGGACTATTTAAAAATGAGTTAAACTGTGTACTTTGCAGGCTTACTTGTTTGCTTCGTAAGTCATTTTGCTCGCACAAATTGCAATTTCTCATTAATCAGCAGTGTGCAAAAGAAAGAGTCAGCTGAAAGGAAAGAGCAGGGAATATTAAAAAGCACAAGGCATGCTTCTCTAGCATGAGTAAAGGTTGCTTATCTTCTTCCTTGTGAAATATTTGTTGCTATTTTAAAAATTAATAGGAACTAAAGTGTTTCACTACATTCACAAAGAAGATCAATAATGTTTGGTTTGTTGTAGTGTTGTTGTTGTTTTATTTTACACACATGGGAAAGGTTATCCCAGGAATAGCTAAACAGATTGGCCTGACTGATTCATATATAACCCTGACTTTGG